TATTGTGGGAGGGGGCACTGCCCCCAGACTTGGCAGCTCTTCTAGCTGTTTGCAGGCCCAGCTCCCTCCTTTCTTCCTTTTCTCCTCTCTCTCATCATACTGATTCTAAGATCACTTTTACTTTGAATATTTCATAATACTTCATCTAGAGCTCAGAGCTGTGGTTCAGAGTTAAAAAAAAATGTCAGAGATCCCCTAATCCAGAGAGAGAGAGAGAATGTATCATAAAGTCCTATTAGTGCTTGCTAAGCTCAGCTGGGATGAAGATGGATAAAGCAGCTCTTAGTTTGTATACTGGGGATGTGCCCTTGCTCCGGATCATTATGGTTCCCCTCTCTTCCTCATAATAGAAGAGATTAAGTTCAGGGTTCAGAAAGTGAAAATATTTTCATTTAAAATGTATAGTAGATCAGTGAAAACTACTGGTTAGAAGGAAATATTTTTATTTCTGTATTGCCCCATTTTGCTTCCTCAAGTAACATAAAGAAGCTGAAGCGCTGACACCTAAGCTTCCTACTTCATTAACAGCCTGGATAGGGTGGGACCGTTGGAGATTCACTGTGTTCCAATGGACGACAGCTGGCATGAATAGGGAAGAGCAGGACAAGAGATCAGGGTACCTGCCAACAGTTGGCATTATGCTTTGAAACTTACCTTCTACCACTTCTCACACAAGAATGGGCCAAGCAACTCAAAGTGAGGGCCTCACTTTGGGATTAGTCAGAGCCACCATGGCCAACTCGAGCCATCCTAAGGAGGTTCTCTCCATTTATCTGGATTGAAGACTACCTTGATGTGGAGAATTAGTGTTTATCCTTGAGGAATATGCATGTCTTTTGGTTCAAGAATTTGCTCAAAGATGATATAAGGAAGGACCATGGTAGAAAGTATAAGAATGATCTTTTTTATTTTGTGTAGATTGGCAGACTGTAAAAGGACCAGAGTTAACCTTTAACATACACTCATCTCCCCAAACTCTGTGATTTCTTAACTTTTCCTTCTTGTGGTCACTTGATTTTCATGACTGATAACAAATTCTAAGAACAGGAAGCCAATTACCAATATTAAATGTCAATGTATATGACATACATCAGATATATATTTAAATGTTATTTTCTGATGATATCATAAAACCTTATTACCTAGAACCCAAGGGAGGGAATTGTTCTGTTTAAATAGTTACACATTCAGTACTATAGGACTTGAATCTTTATACACCCAAACCTTTTTACTTTAATACTTTTGGATGGCTATCTTCCTACAATTTCTTGACTACTTTTATACAAGATGCTGCACACAATTTAAACTTTTCTTGATTACTTATTGTGGATTGAATTATTATCGTGGATATCAATTAAAGAACTATGCTATAGAACAGGAAACACTCCCAGGAACTTCAGAAGTATGCAAGGGTTATTTCTTCACTATTAAAAGGCTGCTGTGCTTTCCCAGTTTTGGTATATGATCAACATACTTTTTGTTAGGCTTTCATTTTTTTTCTCTCACTATGTTTACTTCAGCCTCATAATTTGTTGCATAAGATCTGCTATTAGCTGGAAACTAACAAGAAACCAGGATATTTCATTTAATAACAATTTCTAAGTACCTGCTAGGTCCTAGACACCATAGTAGGTGCTGTGACATACAGAGGGATAAGCCACAGTCCCTCTGGACCTTGGCAAAGCTTAGTTTTTGATATCAAATGCTATATGGAAGAACGTGACTCAGTTATGGTAATATGGAAGAGAAGGAGTAGGTTACCTAATTCAGGATGGCGAAGTTCAGCCTGCTTTTAAGATGAGATGATTGTTGGCTCAGGCTTCAAGAACAGTAGGAGTTAACTAGATAGATAAAATAACAAAAGGTATTCCAACCAAGGGAAATAGCAGGTACAAGGTATAAAGGAACATGAAAAATGGGAGCATGTCAGCCTCAGAGAGAGTGTCTTTAGCTCACCTGAGAGACTATCAGTGGGTTTTAAAGGCAGAAAAGTCTTGCTGCTATTATGATTTCCTAGGTTCCTAGTTATCCTTTGGATAAGTGAATTTTCCAAATAGCTGAGTTTCAGTAGGGGAAGTGTAAACATATGTAAGTGGTTTTTACTATATGGAACATATAGAGAGAATTCCTTTCTATTTGGAGGACTGAGTGATCAAAGCTTTCAACTGACAGTAAAATAGCTTTCTGTGAAATATTAGCAAATTAACTGATAAATATTAGCAAAAATTTCAAAAGTACCTTAAACAACATAAAACAACATATATTATTTTTAAAGTCATTGTAATGCTCGAAGTAGTTATTTTAAGACTGTAAGGAAAAGTTAAAAGATGACAATATTTTGACCATCAATAAGTATTTTAATTCTAGAAATACTAAGAAAAATAAATTTTGCATAGCTCACACATTGTTGGTTCAAAATCAGGTTTAAAAATATGCAGTTAAGGGGAAAGGTTCATAGACTTTTGGAAAATAGGTAGGTTAACATGCAGAAAATGTTAAGGTAAATCTAATGAATCTGTTTTTCCCTTCAATCAAGATGTACAATAAAGAAACAAAGTCATTACATGTGGTCAGTAAATAACAGATAAAATGAATTGGTTTCACTTCATTTTATTTCATCGACCTTGGGAATGTAAGCATCAGAAATTATTTAATTGTATAGTCTTAACACAGGATTGATCTGTTAAATACCAGATTTGAATGTTAGTTTCAGAGCAACATTTGTTTTAAAAAAACAACAACGTAGGATTTGTAGTCGATTGCAAAATTAATATGAGCCAGCAGTGTTATGTGGTTGTCTAAAAAGCTAATGCAACTTGGGGAGCTTGGTAGAAATTAAGACCCAAAGCAATAGAAGTGATAGCCCCAAGCTCCTGTGTGCTGGACCGTACCTGTAGTTGTGTTCAGTTCTGGCTCCATACTTCACGCATAGTGAAAAGATTCTGAACCAGTTCATATGAGGAATGCTTAAATTAACCTAGACAAGTTAACTTGGACAAGACTTCAGGGAAAATGACAGCTGTCTTCAAACATCTGAATGGCTATCATGTGGAAGGATTAAAATTGCTCAGAGTGGCTACAAAAATCTGAACGAGGACTTCTGGGCGGAAGTTACAGGAAGATAGACTTCTATTCAATGCAAGGATGAATGTTTCAATGTTCAAGGAGCTTTCCAAACATGGAATGAACTGTCCCGGGACATAGTGAATTTTTTGCTATCTGAGGAATTAAACTAAAGCTCAATCTTTTGTTGGGAATTTTATGAAGGAATTCAATCATTAGTTCTAAGACTGGAGAAGTTAAGGCCCCTTTGAATCCTGAGATTCAATGATTCTATGATTAAACCATGCTTTATTCCCTGACCCTTTGGTCAGTTTTCTAATCACAGATGAAAAGTTTCGAATTAGGAAAAAAATCAGTTTTTAAAACTATAGTCAACTTGCAGTTTCTCATATTATTGGAAATGATTAGCTGCAAGAAAATGCAAAACTACAAGAAAATTTAAATACAATTTAATTTTAGAGGGCGATATGGTGAAATAACAATTTAAAGAATACAACTATGACTCATGGTTCATTTTTCAGAAGATGGTCTGTGTTAACACTGCTTTGATGTTTTAATAATAGTGAATGAAATGAAATGAAATATCCTGTGTAACAGATTATTACTTTGATATTTATTATTTGTCAGGTATTTGAATTTAATATAAGCATTCTTGAAAGACAACAAGTTTAAAAAGGTTCTGTTGACATTTTTCATATTTTTCCTCTTTGCGAAGGTTGGCAATATTTGGAGATAGAAAATAGAAAGCGAAGACTAAAAGACTGATAATCTGTAGAACAGACAACTAAGTAATTTGCAAAACTGAGGAACAGGACTAAAATCAAGACAGCATTCTGAGCTGGAGTGTATTCAAAGGAATAAACAAAAAACCAAATACTTGAATCTGTAATTAGCATGCACCTCTGTACACTGGTGAAGAAAGTTTCTATTTTAACTTTTCTTCTTTGTTTTTTTGGCATGGGAATTTTCTAATGTTTTGCTATGGCTAATAATAAAATCAGCCTGCATTCACATCTGCTTGCTCTTCCAAATACACAGTTTATGGCTTGAGCAGGACTCTGACCAATGGAAAGAGGAAAACAGTATGAAATTAAAAATTAGCCATAGGTGTAAACCTGAAAGTGGTTAATCCGCACATTTTAGATTTGATTTCGTTTGCTCAATTCAACTTTAAAAGTCACTTTGCCTCAAATATCATCTTCTAACACTGTTTTAATCTCTTCTCTGTTAAGTACTGGGGATACAAAGAGTAAAAAGACAGTCTATTCTTAAGGGACTAATATTCGAGTTATGACTACAGTTATTAAATTCAAAACCATATGATGGCACTTTTGGGGAGTCGGGTAGGGTTGGGTGGAATAGAGTATGGGTATAAAACACTGAAGGTAGGCTAATATTTAGTTTGAAAGTTTTATACCAGCCCGAAAGTGACCAGGTTTTGAATGATATGTATTTTTTTTAAAAGTATTCTTACCTCCAGCTACAAGTCCAGACTCCCCTAATTGAATAGCTACCCCAAAGCCTCCAAGCTTGACAGGTGCTGAGTTTTCCTTTGAGGCCAGTAGAACACAGTGAGGCTGAAAAGAAAATGAGACAGACAGACAAACCAAAAAACCAGAGATAAGGATTAATTGAATATGAACAATTCAATCTACACAAAACAGTAACATGACAATATAAAAATACATTAAAAACATCTGAAATTATTTTGGATGCTTGAATTATTTGTCCTATTCTTATCTCTGGCTAACTTCTCCAAAAGCTTACCTGTTCTATTCAGTATTTTTCAGGTATTATTTGCTTCTAAGATTAGGGTACGGTGTTAAGAATTACTCAAGATACTAATCACTATGTTGTACACCTGGAACTAATATAATATCGTATGTCAACTATAATTTAAAAAAATTAAAAGAAGAATTACTCAGGAAGCATGGATGTTCAAGAAAGACAAACAATTTCTGTCTTTTCATGCAATATTCTCTTCCTTTGAGTGACAGTTTACATTTGTTTAAGGAAAAATATATTTGACAAACATATATTTGCCAAAATATTTCTTGAAATCTCTGACTTTATCTACACTGTATCTTGGCCTTTAGGGGATGCTGATGGTCCTTTCTTTACCTACCCTCCCACCATCTTCTTTCTTTTCTTTATGTATTCCACCCCTTAGTAAGAAAAGTCAGATTTAATGACTCCAATTGATCCTTGCTCCTAGGGAATTCACTGCCCTCCCTGGGAAGACCTTTTCTCTGAAACTGCTCTTTCTCTCTGTGGGAGTGGGAGGTGAGAGATGAGAAGAGGGAAAGGAGATGACTCCGTTGGCCTCTAGTCCAGGGCAAAGATATCCTGCCCACTCCAGAGTAGCTGCTTGACCAAAGCTCCCTACAATTCACATGCTTTGTGGTTACAATGAGAGTTTATTTGTAGGACATTGTCTTCTGCACCTCTCTCTTTCTGGGACCTTGTTGGGCCTGATATCAGGAAAGCTGGTTCAAACAGAGATTGATGACAATGGACCTGAAGATGAAAGCAATAGCCCTAGCATGATTCTGGTGTGGGGCACAGTAAGTGAACAAGCCTAGAAAAGGATAGGCCTTGAAGCCATGGTCAGAACTCCAGATTTTATGATGAGTGAGATGGGAAACCACTGGAAAGTTCTGAGCTGGGGAACATTATGATAAGTTTTAGGTCCTGAAAGGAGCACTTGCAGGGAGAACAGATTGCCAGGGCACAAGAATAGAAGAAAGGAGACCAGGTAGGAGGCTTCTGTAGTTGTTTGGGCAAGAAAAATTGTAATTTGGACTAGATCAGAGTGACAGAAGCAGAGATGGTAAGAAGTGGTCAAATTCAGGATATATTCTGAAGGTAAAGCTGACAGGAAATGCTACTGGATATGGCGTATGAGAGAAAAAGATAAGTCAAATATGACAATTAGGTTTTAGTTCTGGGCAACTGAGTGAAAATGAAGATGCCATTTACTGAAATTGGAAACACAGGGGGAGGAGTCTGTAAGAGGGATCAAGAATTTGGTTTTACATAAATTGAGTGTGAGAGCTTATAAAATGGAAGAGGGAAGGCTGGGATTAGAGGTATAAATTTGGGATCTACAGCATACAGACAGCATTTACAGTCAAAGTAATGAATTAAATTGCTTAGGTAGAAAGATTGAGACTTGGTTCACACCACCAATATTTGAGGTCAGGAAAACGAGAATAATCTAGCAAAAGAAATAGGAAAATCAGAGGAGTCTGTGTCCTGGAATGCTACTGAGATGTCATTTGAGATAAGAACTGAGAACTGACTATTAGATTTGGCGATTTGGGTGTCACTGGTGATCTTGATAAGAGGGGTTTTGGTAGTATAACAGAGACAAAAAAATCCCCATTGGACCAAGTTCAAGAGAGAATGAGAATGGTTTTTGTTTGTTTGTTTAGTTTAAATAAATTGATTTATTTTTAAAAATGACACCACAAAATGCTGCTGAGAGTGTGCAGACTGGATCATTGATACATTGCTAGTAAAAAGGTATGGCCACTCTGGATAAGAGTTTGGCAGTTTTTTAAAAAACTAAAGATGCAACTACCAAACAACCCAGCAATTACAATCCTGTGCATTTATCTCAGAAAAATAAAAACTTACATTCACACAAGAACCTGTGCATGAATATTTATAGCAGCTTTTTCCATGATAGATAGAGAATGAGAAGGATGATATGGAGATAGTAAATTCGGATATCTTTCAAAATTTTACTGTATTAGAAATAGAGAAATGGGACGTAGCTAGAAAAGAATGTAAAGGAAGGAAGTTTCTTTTTTGAAAACTTTTTAATGTTTATAATTGGAGAAAATAGATTAGTAAACTTCCATATGACTATCACCTAGCTTTACCAATCACTGCCATTCTGCCATTCTTGCTTCACATATCCCCATTTATTATTTTTTTGCTCAAGTATTTCAAAATAAATCATATCATCTCACTTGTTAATAGTTCAGTATTTCTAACAGATGACTTAAAAAAACCTAATATAATCACATCCAATAAAATTGACAATTCTTTAATATCATCTAATATAAATCCATATTCAAATTTCTTTGACTGTCTCAAAAATGTCTTTTTACAGTTGGTTAGTTCAAAATGGTATTTAAAGTCCATACATCGTATTTGATAGTTATATCACTCGAGTCTCTTTTACTCTATTAACATATGCCCCTCATACCTTTTTAAAAAATGTTCATGCCATTGATTTGTTAGGATACTAGGTACTTTTCCCTGTGGAATCCCCTATGATCTGGACTTGGCTAAATATACCTACATAATGCCATTTAATATGTTCCTCAATTTCCTGTATTTCCTGTAAATTCATAGTTAGATCTAGAAACTTGATTAGATTCACATTCAATTTTAATTTTTTTTGCTATAATACTTCATAAGCGGTATACCTATTTTATCACATCAGGAAGAACATAATGTCTGTTTGTCCTACTTTGATCAGTTTTGTCTGCCTTGATCCATCATTAGAAAGTTCATCATCAAATTTCATTCAGTGATTTTAGCTAGCCACTCTTGCCTAGTTCTATAATTAGAGATTTTCGAAATTGAGGTTCTCCCTTATTGTTATGAAACCTATCAAACACAGAGAAAAATGAAAGAATTGTACAGTAAATAGACATATTCACCACATAGATTCTACAATTAACATTATGCTACATTTCCTTTACCAAATATCTATCCATTCATTCCTCTATACAATCATTAATTTGTCTTTTCACTACACTTCCGCACACATATCATTAGAGTTTAATATTTGTTTAAAATTATGTTTAAGGTAAAATTTACATACTGTGAAATGCACAAATCTTAAGAGTACTATTACAGAGTTTTGACAATTACATATATTTGTGTAACCCAAATCCCTATCGAGATATTATCTTCATCCCAGAAATCTCCCTCATCCTCCTCCCATTCAATCTCTGCTGCCATGTCCCCAGTGCAAGCCACTATTTTGATATTTTTTCACCATAAGTTTGTTTTGCCTATACTAGAACTTCATATACACAAAGCCATATAGGATATATCCTTTTCTGTAAGCCTTCTCTTGCTCAGCATGTTTCTGAGATTCATCCATTTTGTTGTGATTAGTAGTTCATTTCTTTTTATTGCTGAGTAAGTATTCTGTTGTATAAATATACTAGTTTGCCCATTTTCCTCTTGATTGACATTAGAGATGTTTCTAGTTTTTGGATATTATGAATAAAGCTGTTATGAACTATTTCCAGAATAACAAGTTGGTTTCTAGGCAACCTCCAAAGGTGAATGATGAAGGTTTTTTTTTTTTGGTATTATTATCAATTTATAGATTTTTATATATTTGATGTGTTTTAATCTACTGCAACCATTATTCATTTTGATGCTCAAATCCCATTTTTAGCCAGTTGGAGCTCCTTTAAGTCAGCTCTTATGTTCTCTTGTAAGACTCTAGGAGTCTGATAACTTCCTTGCTTTCAGACACAAGATGTTTGAGGCTTGTCTTTTTCATTTCTTGCCCCAGATCTGGAATTGGCATTTCTCCAAGCAGCCCCTTTTCTGTTTAGTGGGAAAGGTATATAAATCCACATAAGTTACATAATCCACATAGTAGATACATTATTACTACTGGATTATCATTGCTTTGATTTTTCAGTGAACAGAGCTAAAAATGTATGTATTTTTTATAAGGAGAAAAACACATCACCAAATCATACTGATGCTTCTACCTGCTCAATTATAGGGTTTTTACTTCTTTTTCTCAAGCAATGTTGATACCTAATGACATTAACATAATTACTCATTTGCTTTATCCTTTAGTGTGTGTGTATATAAAAGTTTAAAAATAACAATGCTTATATTACCAGTAACAACAAAATCACTGTACGCTGCTTAAGATTTCTTTGTGGTTTTGTCCTTAGGATATAACCTAAAAGGGATGCCTAGTTAAAATATTATTTTACTGTTTAAGAAAGTAAGAATTTATCAGTTTATGCTGATGTAAAAAATAAGTAAATGAATGGGAGAGGGAAGAATAAGCTTTCCTTGAAGTAGAAAATTAATTAATAAATATAGAATAAATTCTGGCATTAGAAAATCACCATTTGGCAATTATCATCATGATTGATTCAGGTAAGAACCATCAAAGGGTGCTAACTGGTGGGTGGAAAGTTTCCAGTGACAGGATATTTATATAATTTCGAAGTAGCTCGCCACAGGATATTTATTAATTACAGAAGATAAAATAGTAATTTCACAGAGGAGAAACCTGGCAGACATTACTGTCAAAGTTACTATTGCTAGTAATGGGACTAACTGATAGCATGTGCTTCCTTTACTGAGAAGAACTCAGCAACATTGTCAAAGGACATAACTGGATCTAATCATAAATAAGAAAACATCAGACAAACCCAAGCAAAGGGACATTCTAGAAAGTAACTGGCCCATTTTCTTCAAATACTGTTCCAGATTAAAGGGATTAAAGGAGACCAAAGAGATTTAACAGCTAAAATGCAATACATAATCTTGTTTTTATTTTTGCTATAAAAGATAT